TAGATGTGTGTGTGTGTACATGATTCAATTCATAGGCGACAACAAACAAATGAGTTCAAATCACTCGATACTTTACCGTCATCACCAGTGGCGATGAACTATTCATCTATCGCCATCAACTGTACACACCTGTCTGCGTGGTAGCATCTAGCAGCTTCTCATGTACACACGCCTTGGTTTGAATACACCTACACCCAAACATACATAACTGATAAACTTCCGCGTACGTGCCAGCATGCGTCAATTACGTAGACGCTTGCACATGACAGAGGAACCCTAGATTCCACACGCGCATGTTATTTAGGCGTTTCTACACAACACCTTGAGTGCAGGCGAGTGGTGTGCTGATGTGCAACTAATGCTGTCATAGCTATGCTATTTGAAGGGACATGCACCTCATTTTATTGGTTGCAGCCGTGTTGCTAACGATTGCCTATACTATGACTCAAGTGTAGTTGTTAGTATAAGGGTCGGGATATCAAGTTCCCAACTGGGCCTTTTCTGTTGTATAGAGCAAAGGATACCAGCACAAGATTTCAAGACATTGCCTATAAAAGTATATGGCACACTTCTCCGACTGTCTGTGTGCTTTCCAATTACAAGGTTGTCCCTAAGACTGAGATGTTAACGTACGTGGAGTTCCCATTCTGAGAGACAAGACTAACTTCTAATAATCTCAGTCCGAATAAAGACGGTGCAGCCATAGCCTGTGTCTAATTTAGAAAGCTATGTAGCACCTCTCCCGGTTTTTCACAAGAGTTAAGTGCCTACTCTTTCTCAACAATTAATATTTAAAACGTATTTCAAACGGATCCACAATATGTACAAGGCTGCTAGGTATGAATTATCGCATTTTTTTATATGTATTTTAAGAGGAGGCTACATATTCTAGCCTAACGCTAGAGACCCCGACTTTAGCCGTCTGGGAGTTCAATTGATCCTTTTAGTTCTCTACCGGCACCGCTTTTATCTTTTGGGTATAGTCGTGTGTGTCCTATGATATATGCAAAACTATACATGGTTTCTAGGGTACACATGACTGTTTGGGTTTGATCGCTGTCAAAAGCCAATATGTTCTTTTTTAGTACAAGCAACCCGGCTGGCTATCTGCCGACTGTGCTGAGGGGTCCGCCAAACTTACTTACGTGCCATTTATAGACCCGTAGGTATTCAATTCAATTGTTGCAGTGTACGTAGGGATATGCACCTACCGGTCGCAATTCCGTGCACGCACCATCGACTTAAGCCTACATCAGGTTATGTATCTGCTCCTCTACGTATCCACGACTAGATAAACACGTGCACACACGTTACTATGAATCCTGGTGTACTCAGGTACGTATGTATTCAGATCAATCAGCTGCTCTCGGCGTGTTTCTTGAGCCAGACCCTCTGGTACAGTCGGTTGTTCGCCTTCTCAAAGTCGTACGACTGCTTGGCAGCCTCTGCATCCGTAAAGGATGTTCGGCCGTGCAGTAGTTGAGTGTCGTTGGCAAGAAGGGTCTCTCCTTGTTGCATGTTGTATCTGTTGAGGTCGAGTTATCAGGTCGATGAGTTGAATGTATGTGTAGTGCGTGTAGGTATCTCTATAGCATGATACATATAGCGAGATTTATGCGTATCAATGAAATGTGTGACCGACGGAGTAGACTTCATGAAGAGAGTTTGCCATCATGTTTCTCAACCAGAAAGTCTTCTGAATACATAATGGTCGAGTAGAGTGCTGGTGTAATATATCTACCTATGGTGCTGGTGTAATATATCTACCTATGGTGCTGCTGTAATATATCTACCTATGATGCTGGTGTAATATATCTACCTATGGTACTGGTGTAATATATCTACCTATGGTGCTGGTGTAAAGTATCTACCTATGGTGCTGGTGTATTATATCTACCTATGGTACTGGTATATTGTATCTACCTATGGTGCTGGTGTAATATATCTACCTATGGTGCTGGTGTAATATATCTACCTATCGATCAATGAACCGTGTTAAATACACTCGACCTGTTTTCACTGCTACAGAAAAAAGACTTCAAACATATGTATTCTTGGGTCATAACTCCAACAAGGCTGGCATATTCACAACAATAGCATGTACTAAACATGTACACATGTGTATACCCATTCATGTCGTATCGTACTATACCTGAATTGAATGGTGGACATCTCGCACACGCAGTCGAGGACATCCAGGGCCCACATCTGCTTATCTGTGAGGGGTTGGCCCTGGCGGATGTGTGCGCTCTCCAGATAATCCCTGAGATATCTGAGCAGAGGCTCGCCCTTGTCGTTGTAGAACAAGATGGGTGCACTGGGACAGATGGGAGGTAGTATGAGTATACGGATGTACACGTATGTGCACACGTGCATATAGGAGGTAGTATGAGTATATGGATGTACACGAATGTGCACATGGGCATGGACATGGTTTATGTAAACAGATCATCGGTTTCACATTCCAGACGTAAAGGTAATTTTCAGTATCGGACGCCAGGTATTCTGCTTTGTATTGTTAGAGAAACATCGACTTGTGGTTATGTGCACACACGAATAGGTGCACATGCCATTCACACGAATATGAGATATACTGCCGCATAACAGAATAATAATTATCAAAACAAACGAAATGAAACCGAGTGCTCGAGTCTGTCTGTAAATATCTGAGCGAGAGTACTCCCTTATCGTTGGAAGACACTATGGCCGCACTGTAGGTGGTGAATGTCTGCAATTATGTATGTACATACTTGCATATAACCCTAAACCCTATGTATGTACATTCTTGCACAAACCCTTAAACCCTATGTATGTACATATTGCGCCCGAGTCAAGGTAATCTACGCCACACAAATACACTCCATTCCTGTCGTACTATACACACTTTCGACACACCAGTGTATATCTTATAAACCAGAGAGCACGCACACACACACACACACACGTAGCCACACACACACACGTAGCCACACACCGGTAGAATCCATCTGAGAATACACACACACACATACACACACACACCGGTAGAATCCATCTGAGAATCCACGCAGCTCCCACCAGAATTGGCCTCGTAGGATCTCCAACGCCTCAGGCACATGCTCGTTGAGGTAGTTGTGCACGGCCAGTGTACTGCACAGAATGCTTTCGCCGCCAATCTGTGCTGGTTGTAAACAAGTCAACAGCATGTAGTCCCACAGGTCGGGAATGTTTACGTTATCAGTGTGGATGGATCCTCCGTCCCTGTTGGTATCAATTGAACACAAGACGTTCAGAGCGGAATGAAGTAGTTGAACAGTACGTGCAAGTAGAGTTCTAGGACATATTGTGTCCGGGACATATTGTGTCCGTTTACACTCAGTCAACCCACGCTGAGGCTCGCAGGCAGAACGTTTTGACCCACCGGCTACTGGGAATGGCTCACAGCACACTCCTATACGCAAGCATCATACTATTGCCAGCTAATAATATTTAGTTAATTTATGAGTGTTCGCTACACGGTACCGACTTCATTACATATGTACAGATACATATGAATACTTGGAGGCAGATCTGTTCATTTGCACATTAAACGTATGTGGTTTTATTTATACATTAAGCGTGTGTGATTCATGTGCACATTGAGCATGTGGGCGGTTTTTTTTATAGAGCTTGTGTGTAGTTTCATTCGCACTTTGAGCATGTGGGTGGTTTCATTTGTAATAGAGCTTGTGTGTAGTTTCATTCGCACATTGAGCATGTGGGTGGCTTCATTTGTAATAGAGCTTGTGTGTAGTTTCATTCGCACATTGAGCATGTGGGTGGTTTCATTTGTAATAGAGCTTGTGTGTAGTTTCATTCGCACATTGTGCACGTGAGTGGCTTTACCTGGATTGATGATAGCGTGCGCCCTGCTTCATCTGCACACCGTCGTTGCGGTTGTACACTAGAATGGCCTTGACACCCTCGGCATTCTGCTGTGGGGTAGTGCCCAGAATCTACAGCACAAGACCATGTGAAAACATAGGGAGAATCAGAACAGTGATCGAGTGGCATTTTTTCTTTCTTTCCGAATACGAATACCAATCCGAGAGATTGAGAACTTAAAAGTACTGGGCAAAGTTATTACCAGGTCAACAATGAGGGACTAATATGAGCATAGTTAAAAACATGGATCAATTTCCACTTCGCCGGAACACAAAATTTGTCGAGGCGTACAACATGAGTATTAATCTTTCTGATACCGTAAAACTCATTTACATATTATGTTGTATGGTTTTACTACGCTTTTATTGGACCCTCAATGGTGACCCAGTAATAGTATGATATTCGTAAGCCGTATTTGAGTATAGTACTGATTTGGTTCGTGTTACAGGTGGATTAAATATCCTTGTGCACTCTATGCATTCACATCCACGTACTATCCGCTTTTATTGGACCCTCAATGGTGACCCAGTAATAGTATGATATTCGTAAGCCGTATTTGAGTATAGTACTGATTTGGTTCGTGTTACAGGTGGATTCAATATCCTTGTGCACTCTATGCATTCACATCCACGTATTATAGGCTGCCTCATTTGAAAGATTGATATAAACACAGTTAAATACAGTCACATAGCCGACATTAAATGTGTCTATTCCAGTGAACGTGCACAAGTATTTCAGAATGTATATGCACATATGTGATAGTTTACCTGTGCTTGCACGAATGCATTGATGCGTCTTTCTCTGACTGACGTGATACCGTCAATTGGCCTGATAACTGAAAACCCCTCACCCTCAATAAGTGCGCGCTGATCCAATTCTTGCATTTCCTTCAATGCCCGGGGGAGATCATGGCGATTGACCTCAATATCGTCTACCTGACAATCCAAAAGATTCACCGTTTATTAGTAATGTATACATCGGATAGGAATAGATATGCGGACGGTCGATTGTGGAGTACGCATATTCGTATTGTACTGTACTTTCACAGGTCCAATGTCTCTTGTTCTGGGTGTGCATACACTGCTGAAAAACTAACAATGACAGCGCGCAAGACTAAAAGTTGGAGGAATTGTGAACACAAAGTGTTCCAAGGGAACACTTTGTCTATTTCAAGGAACAAGTATATGCAGATGGTATTCTCCGACTCATCCATAGTACACGCGTACATTTCGTTGGGGAGAATATCAGACATACCTCAATATCTGAGTTAGCCAGATTCCTAACGTAGTCCCTCAATTCATTGGCGCTGGGGTCTGAGAAACTGTGAAAGATGGCTCCGCGATCAAGTGTGGCGCTGCAATTGTTTAACAAAATTACTATCATTAGATATACGATCATTAGATACATTAAAGGCACCTAGATGACGATTGATCTGCTCTATTTCGCTTCTCACAGAACTATGAATATTACTGGGTTTAGTGCAGTTGTTAGATCTTCTCGTATATGTATGAGTTTCTGTCTCAATATATAAAGCTCAGAGCCAGCGTATATTACAAAATATAATTCAAGCAGGAGTCGACTTAAGTGCTGCAATTAGTGGACTATTTAACATCGGAGAATGTACACCCATACATACTTAGTCCATGCTTTTGGCAAGTCGAATTTCCTATTGATATCGAAGCTTTCTTCAGCTTCCTCAGCTGACAGTGCCGCAATACACCTTCTAGCGCAGATGGACACCGGTGCACACAAACCTGCCATTGGTGAACATCGATGAGTTTAGTAAGTCTCAGTATGATCGGCAAGGATATAGGGAGCAGGCTCACTACAATGAACACTATGTCAAGACAAAATCATTTCATTCAAGATGAGGTTCGACAAAGGTGTAAAAAAGTTCATTTGTAGTCATGTTGGATGCTTTTGGAAAATACTGGGATGAACACACGTATGCATAGAACATTTGTGGATAAAGCATGACAAAATATACATAGGGTTCTTTTAAACATTCCAATATGAATGAGGGTATGATTATATATTTTCTGATATGATCACAGCTGGACAGAAAACTACCGGTTTATATATGATACTAATAGTTCCTAGCTTAATGATGAGGGAATTGAATTTGCATGTCTGCGTAATACGCTTATTCTGCGGAACTTACCGATGAAACCAGCAATCGCACCATACAATTATACTATTTGGTTCGAAAGAAGTACCACATGTTGGTATCGATTGAGAATTGCGTATGATTTCAGTTTATATAAGGTCTGATGGTCTTCTATGAAGTGTGTTTGCACCGTTGAAATAGTATGTGTGTTGCCACGTTTGTAGTTGCAAGCATTTAATTGTAGCGAATTGTCAGTAAAACCGATTTGTACCTGTAGTTTGCGTACGAAGCGTCCTGACTAGACTTGTGGTGGTGGCTCTGAACATTGTAAAATAGTTATTGCTTCTTCTACAGAGATGTTTTCACCCGTGTAGTGCCTGCGCGGCAGCACTTGAACTTCTATTAAATACCTCAGACATTTCTCTTGACGCAGATGTTGCAATGACTGCCTTTTCAGTTTCATTTTTTTTTCCCACAAGCAGAGCTACGTCCTGGTCCTCAGGGGCCCAGGCCTTTCTCTCGCTCATCGTTCTTGTTGCGTTGTTGCTGTGAATGAATTTGAAGTAGAAGGTAAATAGAAACTGGCATTTCTTCTTTGGCTTCCTCGAACGAAGTCCAAAGAATTTGCATTTTGTTCCAGTAAAAGTCCTTGGTTACGGACGAACTCTTTTTGGGACTCTATTTTTTAAATTTTTAATACGGATGATGGATTGATTAAACTGATGATGATGATGGTTATTTTTTTTATGAGAACCGAAGGGATCATCGTTTCTAAGTGGATGAAAGAAATCTCAGGGCAAAACAATTGCTCCAGAATCCTAATTTTGGATTATTGAAAACTCTTTCAATTATGATTGGTAACTATCTAACTCTCGTAGTTATACGGTTGTATAAAAATCATCAGTCCTGCCTCCTACTAGTAGTCCACGTCTGCCGTTCATAAATGACCTCGGTTCGTTTCTCCGACTTTCTCGCTCTCAAAACGTTTGAATCAACCCTTCTCGTTTACGTGATACGTTTAATATTCTAAAAAATAGTACCATCGGTAGTCTCGAGTGAACAGTTTTATGCAATTTTTTTTGTGTTTACGTTTATCGTTTACTGCATTGGGAAAAACACGAATTGACGCAACGACTGTATGTACTGTATGTATATAAATAGGCTACTATTACTCACATTTATATAAAAAAGACCACCCTCATTCATGTATTTAGCGCGAGAGAGAGAAAGGTTGCGGTTCGTATTTATTTAACGTAAATAACACGGATTGAGAAGGGTGACTACTAAGTGACAACTTTTAAAAGTGATAACTATTCAACTTCCTCTATAAAGTAAATCCATGAGTTGTATGTCCTGGAACAAGCCATGATGTGATACACATATTTATATTTTACATCATCGGTGTATGTGGTGAAAACAACTTCTATGAACACCGAGTAGACTAGTGTACTATTTTAAATAGTGAAACACACCACCTGTACCATAAAAGTTGGGTGACAAGTTTTCAACAAATCCAAATGCATTGCATCAGATGATATTTATGCTATATCTTGGACTTGATTTGGAACCAAATTGAAACATCGAAACACCAAATTGTGGACGATCGCCAATGTAGACGGACCGATCTATAGGTGCATGTTCGACGATACAGCAGCCTCAACTTTACAATATGGTGAAAGTGAAATCGATGGGAAGACTCTATACGGCAGCCTCTAAAACCAGGACTGGTCGCATACTCGGCGTATCAAAACGCTTAGTATGGTTTCTCGGATGTATAGTGATTTGTATAATCATATCGGTTACCAATATAACTGGGCTGTCAGGAATACCTATTGTGATAGAGACGGGGATTAACCCCTTCGACCTGTACCTCTTTGAAAATGGGAACGTCACTGACACAGACTACTACTACCTGGCGGACATGCTGAATCGTACAGATGATGCCCTCCGGTATGCAAAGTATTTTGCGATCACAGTAAGAACATATGTGGCAATTATTACACTTCTTCAGATATATGCGAATATATATATATATATATATATATATATATATATATATATATATATATATGTATAGTAAGTAAGTATGTATGTATGTATGTATGTATGTATGTATGTAGATATTTAGTTATGTATGTGTTGATATATATATATATATATATTTGTGTGTGTGTGTGTCTGTGTGTCTGTGTGTGTCTGTGTCTGTGTCTGTATCGATATATATATATATATATATATTGATCAATATGTATATATAATGATCAATATACATATATATATATGCATATTTTTATGTATATGTATATGTATATGAACATGTATACATCTATGCATCAAGACCTTTACATGTACATATATACCAACTACGTTTGCATGTATATGTATTTTAATTGGTACGTTTATGAACTATATAAATGTATATAAACACACACACATGA